TTGTCACGCGTGCACGAAACTACTACAATGGTACCTTAACATTTCACAGACACACCGTGAAATTAATATTGAGTTGCTTTGCTTGTTAAGATAATGTGAGGCAAGAAACACTTAAAAGCATATACTGGTTACATGAGCCTAAGCTCTTCTCAATAAAATCCATGCAAAAGTTAATATCAGATCATTTTAGAATACAGTATAGGATGTACCGAATATACTTCAGTTTCATGCAAAACAGAAATACGACAAATAGAATATCAGATCCCTGTCATATGGCCAAAAATAAATGCTCAAATAAAATGCTTTTTTTGCATAGTTGTGTTTGACACATGAAAACTGTAACAATGTAACGGTGTAACCTTGATCTCACTTGAAATGTGTCCCCACATTAAGTCCTTGAATTTGAGAGTATTGGACCTGGAAAATCCTTGAAAGGATTTTAAGTTAACCAAGGTGTGGGAACCCTGTCTTTGTGTCCACAGAGAGCATGCTGAGAACAGCCAGCAGTCCAGACAGCCTTCGCTCGCGGACGCCCATGATCACGCCAGACCTGGAGAGCGGCACCAAACTCTGGCACCTGGTGAAGAACCACGACCATCCGGACCAGCGGGAGGGCGACCGCGGCAGCAAGATGGTCTCCGAGATCTACCTGACGCGTCTGCTGGCTACCAAGGTAAGGAGAGGTGTATTACATACCTGCAGTTATCAAAGGCACCTTGAAAAACTTCATGCATTACATACTTAATTTGCAAAATACTTGCTAAAAAGGAGATTAAGTGTGTTATAGATCATAGATAACATGGTTAAAAATCATGGTTTGATAATACGTCTCATTCTGCAAAATGGAAGGTTGAGTCAGGCGCATTGCATTGTGGGATACAGTGTCTTGTGCATGTGCTCTGTTGTATACAGCAGATGTAGTAGACTACCTAGAGTACCTACTGCGTACTACATCTAAATGCTATGTAGTATGCCATTGGGAATCTGCTCGCATCATTTTTGTATCATTTACACACTAATATAGTATTTATGTATAGTATATATTATCAAAATAATATAGTTGAATTTTCAGTAATTTTATGGGGTATTGTATTTTTGTAATGCTGTTGCCTTTAAGTTTTTCTTATTTATCTTATTTTATTGGTTTATGCATTAAAGCTGAATTTCTGTTCAGCTTTAATGTATTTTTATTTTTTATATAACTTATTTCAGTTAGTTGCCAGTGCATGATTTCTAATTTTCTCTTTCTTTCTTTTTTTATTCTTTCCATCTAATATTTATTGTATTTTATTTTTAGCTTTCAGTGACCAAAAACCAATTTTAATATTTTTAATTTGAGTTAACACTGTCACATATTTACTTGTAGTCAGAGAAAATCTGTGCAAATCCAAAAAGAAAATGTATTTTTACTGCATTGTCCTGATGTATTTCTCCGGCAGGAGTGTTTAGTGTGAGTACGGTGAAATATGTCGCTAATATTCTCCGTCTTGACAAACACACACTGGAACTAATTGCCTCACTTTTGAAGCACATGTCTGATTTTCTCAGCTGATGTCCTCAGACGGTTAGTGTTGACCTTTGTGTGTGAATGACTAGTTGCTCATTAACATTTACCAGTGCTCCCACTCTCATGGAGAACTGTATCTTAATTAGACCAGTGACCTTTGCTTATTGAGCGGTTTGGGAAAAACTAGCTCTTTATCCATCCTGTGCTCCGTCTCCGTCTGACACTACACAGATATCTCAGCTCACACCTGATGCATTTCCCTGCAGCTCCATAGTGTTTTTGTGAAGAACACATGCATCTGAACCCACAGCAGCTCCAATCACTGATTCTTCACTTAAGACAAATAAGCATGCCTCAATGTTACTGCATTCTGTAACAATGTCACTACAAGGGCACCGTACACGGTTTTCATGCTTAGTATTTTTGTCTAGTTTTCCAGGACAAATATCTAAACGTTCTAAAGTCAAGACACAGGGAAAACCACATAAGATATTAGTTCTTGCTTTCTGAAAAATAAACTGAGTTTAGACTTAAACCAAGAAAAATATCTGCCAGTGGGGTCAGAAAAATACACTTTTATTTTTCTAACCTCATTGTCAGTTATTGTTACTCTTTTTAAGCATAAACCTGCTTATTTTGATGCCTATTATTATTTTATTTTATTTTTCTTTAGAAAACATGATATTGTATGTCATTTTGCTTCTTAAGTAAACATATATTGATGTTAGATTGTTTAGATATTGGTACTGGAAAACAAAAATACTAAGCAAGAAAATAATTTTTCGCAGTGTATATTTAAAGTATATTCACTATGTTTTTGCATGCAATATAATATTAAGCTACGTAGGACATTGCAATGATTTTGCCTTTTATATCTGACCAAGTTTCAAGTTTTGCATGAAGACGGATGTTTTAAATACAGCATCTCTGATTTATACCTCAGTAGCTAAAAGAGTTGAGCTGGTAAGTTTGATTAATTTACATAAATCAGTTCAGAGTTTTTCATGTATAGTTATTCCTTTAAAGAAAATATACAGGTATGCTGTAAATATTTCTGTTCATCACTGGTCCAATGATGAAACATTATGCCTCTGTGTATTTCCTTGGTGAAAAACAGTGTAAAACATGCCTTGATTCACTGACTCGTCTCTCACAGGGGACACTGCAGAAGTTTGTAGACGACCTGTTTGAGACCATCTTCAGTACGGCCCACCGGGGCAGCGCGCTTCCTCTGGCCATCAAATACATGTTTGACTTCTTAGACGAGCAGGCCGACAGACACATGATATCAGACCCCGACGTCAGACACACGTGGAAGAGCAACTGGTGAGTTTGTGTGTCTCGAAATCAAGGAGTGCATTAAAGCATGCATGCTCCCTCTGTTGGTGTTTGAACGCCGTTCCTCTTTGTCTGCAGCTTGCCGTTGAGGTTCTGGGTGAACGTGATCAAGAACCCTCAGTTTGTGTTCGACATTCATAAGAACAGCATTACAGACGCGTGTCTGTCCGTCGTGGCTCAGACCTTCATGGACTCCTGCTCCACGTCAGAACACAAGCTGGGCAAAGACTCGCCCTCCAACAAGCTGCTCTACGCTAAAGACATCCCCAACTACAAGAACTGGGTGGAGAGGTACGACTCCACTTTCATTTCACAGGATGGCTCTTGCTCTTTTGAAATAAGAGTTTACACTCAAAAAACGACATGCTACCTGCTGCATCTACAGCGTTGGATGATATATCACATATTCATAATATATATATATTCACAATGCATTATGGATGATTTTGCACTTTTTATCCGAGCAAGTTTCCTAAAGAACAGATCATTAGACTAGTTTTGCATTAAACACGTTTTTATAGCATTAGTTGAGTTGGTCCGTTTCATTCAGTTACATAATTAGTTCAAATTATCTGTTTGCATGAATCATTTGATCTTTTAGAATCAACTCAAAAATATTCACAGGTGTCTATCTAATTAGAAATATTTCTTTTTATCAGTATGTATTTTATATCGGGACAATGAGCAAATATTTTATGACTTCTTTCATTTATTTAGTTAAAAATAGTGTAAAAATGCCTTGATTATTAAAGCTACTTTTTATTATTAGCTATATTTTAGATCTTAAATTTAAATACTTTGCATGATAAATATGATTAAAATGTAGATATAGTTTTTTTACACTTCCGTTCAATAGACTGGGTTTGGTTCTCAACAAGTCTGCATTTATCTAATCAAAAACAAAATTAACATTAACATTTAAAGCTAACATTAAAAAACAGTAATATTGTGAAATATTATTACAATTTACAATAACTGTTTTCTATGTGAATATGTTCAAATGTAATGTATTGCTGTGATGCGCAGCTGTATTTTCAGCATCATTCCTCCAGTCTTCAGTGTCACATGATCTTCAGAAATCAGTATAATATGCTGATCTGCTGCTCAAGAAACATTTCTGATTATTATCAATGCTGAAAACAGTCGTGCTGCACAATATTTTTGTGGAAACTGTGATACATTTTATTTTTCGGGATTCACAGCTGAATAGAAAGTTCAATAGAACAGCATTTATTTGAAACATAAATCTTTTGTAACATTCTAAATGCCTTCACTGTCACTTTTGAATTTAATTAAAACAATGATTGATATGTTTGATCTGCAGATGGCTGTTAAACTGCTGATCGATGGCTGTGTGTGTGTGTGTGTGTGTGTGTTGTGCAGGTATTACTCTGATATCTCGCGGATGCCTGCGATCAGTGATCAGGATATGAGCGCGTATCTGGCCGAACAGTCGCGTCTGCATTTAAATCAGTTCAACAGTATGAGCGCGCTGCATGAAATCTTCTCCTACATCACCAAATACAAGGACGAGGTGAGAACCGAACGCAGCTCAGGCCTCAGAAAGCTCTCCGTCTGCCGTGTCACTGAATTCACTGGGTTTTCTCGTTCTGTGTAGATCCTGTCGGCACTGGAGAGGGATGAACAGTCGCGCCGCCAGAGACTGAGGGTTAAACTGGAGCAGGTGATCGACACGATGGCTCTGTCCAGCTGATCCGGACTGGAAACCTCCGTGTGTGTTTATACACCAGGACAACGCCACAACGCTGAATGTAGGTGGTGTAGATTTTGCGTTGTTGGACAAAGACGCTCTTTCCTGTTTTGAAGAGACAATGAGGACGTTTGGGACCTCTGATGAAGTCATGTGAGCGTGTCACGAGCCAGCGATCGCGACGGATCAAAGGACACGTGTGTGCGTGTTTACTATGTTTTATTATTTTGTACAAATGTTCTCGACTCTCCGCTCTCTTTGCCACTTGTGTTTCTGCTGAATTTGCACAGTTTACAGAATCAACGAGCAACTGGCTCCATCTCATGAACACGACGTCTCGTTTCGGGTCAGGAAACGCAACGACACATCTATTTTAACCTTTACGTACAGTAGTGTTGACGAAGGTGAATTTGACATTACACAAATGACAAAAAGAAGGAAAAAATAACAAAAAATATGAATAAAAATCTTGTCCTGTGCTATGTTTTATTTGAATGTTGTTTAATGCAAAAAAAAAGGTTTGTGAAGTAGGAATGTGCTTTGATTGTTTTACTATATAAAAAAAAAAAAGATGAAATATTTCATCCAAAAATTACACATTTTTAATTTTGACTGAACTGGTTTTTTTTTTTTAAAGCAAAGCTTTAATTACTGATTCATCAGATGCTACTCTTGATTTTAGACGCCGAATCAACTCGCTCAGATTATTTCAGCAGGTTCATTCTCTGAAGAAATCACTGTTTAGTGAGACTGAGCGGAGATAAATGAGTGAGAAGGAGGCCGAGTGAATTGTTTCCGATGCATGAGTCAGTGTTTATATGCTCGTTCATCAGGCCTTCAGCCTCCGTGATCAGAAAAGAGAGCTGGGCTTTTGTTTTTAATGAGATGGGCCTGATTGATTTCGACTGATCAATCGCTCTGCTTTCATTGAACACTTGAAGAGGAGACGTCTCGTATGTTTTTGTTTTGATACGTTTGTTTCCTCTTGAGCCTGAGATTCGTCGTTTATGAGCGAATGTTTTAGTGTGTCATAAAGTGGCATGAGCAGGTACGAACTTTAAAATGGACAGAGAGAAAAAGAACAACAGTATCAGTGATGAAATATTCTAGTTTCTCTATTTCTTTTTTTTAATCGATCTTCCATGTTCTCAATGAGTCTCTTCCGAAGTTTTTGGCCAGTTTCTTATATCAGATTCAACTTAAAGAGCCCATGAGATCAATATGTTTATTAGATCTGAGTGCATCATATACTGCTCTACTACTATGACCAAATTAAACTCGAGCTGGTTTGCTTTTAGCATTTAACAACTGCAGTCTTTCTCTTCCAGGAAACCTGACCAATAATATTGATGATCTTGCTATTTTTCTCCAATTAAATACAAGTAAAATGGCTAAATAAAAGCTATTAGCTGTTTAAGAGTACCATCCTAACCTCTCTTTTTAATTGGAAATAATATGTCAGCAAAGCAAAACTGAACTAATCAAGCCGTTTCGTGGGGTCCCTAATGCTTATTTTACCAAAATATCAAATTAAAGGCATGTTCTTACTATGAATGATGACTATATTAGCGTCCTCGCCAAAGGACAATAATATTGCGTATTGTAAATGTGCACTTCTGATATGTTTTGTGAATGACATTGCAGTGCGCACTTTAAAAAGGAAGATTTTGTTCGGCTGTCATTGTTTTTATTGTTCATGAGCTGAAAAAATAAATTGATCTGAAAGTGCCCTGCTGAAAAAACAATAGACACCATCACATTAATTGTAATGGTTATAATGGGACTTGTATTGGTTTTAATGGAAACTGTAATGGACCCTGTTGGTCTCTACTGGGAATTGGTCACCTTCTGTTGGTGGCTTGTTATAACCAATAAATCCTAATGGAATATGTCCCAAAACACACTACAGAAATTTTTTTTATGGTTTTAATGGTTAAAAGTTCATGGTTTGTAATGGTATTTGTAGTGGAAACCATTAGAATTTTCTGTGATGGCTCTATTGTTTTTTTTTTCAGCACAGTGATACATTTCCTTTTAATGTAGACTGCGAAACATTTTGGTTAAAGCTATCATTCTTGGTGTGAACAAGCCTCTAAACCAGTTTAATGGTTGCATTGTAACTAAAGTAACCAGCTCTGCTCTGATAGTGATGTCAAAGGCAGGTAGTCAGGTCAGATCATCATCTGACGTCATTCATTTTTACCCAAAGACAAAAAGAAGAAAAACAGACTTTATATTAACACTGACGTTGAAACTTTGTCGGTTTGGCTTTTTCTCCTGCTCAACTGGTTTGTTTTGACAGATATTACAATCTGATCTACATAATCTTCATGCAATAACCTTGTGCTGTCAGTGGGTTGGTGCACATCTACACTTTGCACAATCAACCCTGTATCAGTTAGTATAGACTGATGGAGGTCGTGTTGGTGTTTTTGGTCAGTGTAACTGCAGCGGACGGGCCGTTGACCTTCTAATCAGTCTGGTTTGACGTCGCCTGCTTTAAAATGAGATCCAAACATCTCAGGATCGTCCTTCCACTCTTGAGTTCGTCTCTCGACCAGAGAACTGCTGTGGTCAGGACATTTGTGATGTTCTGGACGTCTGGCTTGCGCTTCTTCCCAGGGACTTTCAGTGTTTACACCCAACTTTCAAATACCATGTATTAAAAAAAAAAAGATTTCACATTGTGTTTTAATTTATTTATATTTTGATCCTGTTGTTGTGTTTCTTAGATTGAAATGTGTCTAAACTGGTGCTGCTGGAGTTTTCTCTGCTCTCCTTTCATATGTTCCTGTAATGGCTAATACAGTTTTCATGAATCTGCTCTTAAACTCAAGATCACTATGAAGGTCCAAGATGATAACGCAGTAATACTGCGGCACAGATACAGATGCTCTCATGTCTAACCTCATCGCTCTTTTGCTTTGTTTCCGTCCAGTAATTTCTGAAAAATAATAATGAAGTATCTGTCCTTCAGACCAGAAAAAAGATGAAGAGATGAAGCAAGACAAGTTTGTGTTGTTGGTGAAACTGAAATAACAAAAGACATTTGAACAATTATGATTCAGGACTTAGACTGTCACTGGTGTCTATTCATGTGTAAAGGTTTTTGCTTTTTTTTGCCCAGATTTACTACTTGTAAATAAACAAGCATCAATGAGAAATTAAACATGTTTTTGCAAAAACCTCTGGTGATTTTCATTTTGTTTTAAAATATCTAAAATCACAGCAGAAATCCTGCACAACCTGGAACATTGACTCTCAGTGGTGTCACTGACTAAAATATTAACTTTTAAAATACATTCTGGTACCGTTTGGTCATTTTACACCAATTATTATTATTTTTTTCTTTTGGTATGATATAACTTGGTTACTTTTGTGATTAGAAATGGTTAAATGACCTTAAGAAATAGTCACACTTTTACTTATATCGATCAAAAAATATGAAAATACAGAGCATTTATTATGGTATCTATATATTGTACAAATCAGCCACAAAACAAAGCACCCAGCAATGAAGGGAATACACTGTAAATCATCAAGTATATAAAATGGACACACACACACTTACAATCTAGTGTGACCAATAATGCTAAAACAAACACTTCAAATCAACATTTAAAAAAAAAATAATAATAATACAAATCTTGACAAAAGTAGCATTGGTTAATGTCTAAATATTCAAAGGCGAAACCTGATAAAGATTTTTGATGAAATACTATTTTAGTTGTTCTACTTCAAAATTTCGCATTTAATGTAATGTAACTTCATGTCTTCGTAATAATTTGTGAAATTGAATGGCAATTTCCCTATTATAAAATGTTTTCCCTAATATTTTTATTTCAAGCACTGATGAAATTCCTTCAAAATACTAAATATCAACTAAAAAAAATTTTTATAGATTAGACTCTAAATTTGGGTCTGTTAGACATTTTTAATTGGAATATAGCCCACAAGTCTGTTTTGACACTGTCATTTTCGAGTTAATCTGCTCCAGTTGACATTATAAAAAGTGTCTGGATGTTCTTCAGTATAATATGTGTTGGTGGTTAAAATCATAAAGGTTTGGAACAACGTGATTGTGAGTAAATGCAATTTATTTTTAGATAAACTATTCTTTAAAGGCTACAAAGTTCTTAATATTGTGCCAGAAAGTTTTGAAATAAACACAAAGCTTCCTAATTAGCCGTATTATTTTTCCAGTGTTTTTACATGTATTAAAATTCAGCGAGCTTTTAGACGTGATTATTTCTGGCCTTGTGTGGGTGTATGTGTGAAAAGCACATTAGAACAGAGTTCTGTTAATTACAGAATTGCAGGTTTTGTGCCCGTCCCTCCATCACCTCCAGCTCCAGCGGGATGCAGGACACGTCCCGTCCGTCTCTGCTGCTCAGGTGAGGAGATCTCACAGGTGAGTGTGTGTCTGATGGAAACAGACCCAGGAGCTCGTCATGTGCCAGGCGTCTCTGTGGGGTTCAGTAGCACCTGTTCGCCCTCACCTTGAGCCTGACGAGAGTGATTCAGCTCTGGAAGACTTCCCTCAGAGTCACTGTTCACTTTAGGGCCAGTGGAGTTTGGCATCAGTTACGTCAATGTGCCTTTTTTTCTGTATTTACATACTTAATTCAAATGGCAATATTTGATTGGTTTTCGTTTTGCATCCTAGCAGACTTTTAAACTGAGCTGCATGTGAGGTTCAGGGGGTGAAGCTGCTCTGAACTGGGCTCACAGAGATATAAATGTGGCATCATTCTGATTTACATGCTTCACGCAGCCTGGACAAAGAGAGCGCCACGGTCGGACCGTATGTTCTTTGATTTTTCCGGTGTGTTAATCACGACCTCACGACTCTGGCTTAAGAAGCAGCTTCTGGTGATGCAGGGAGAGACCCTCATGCTCACCGCCTCTTCAGAATAGAATACTAGCATACTACTCACTGTATAATACACTGTGTATACTGCTTACTATTTTTATTTACTGCTAAATAAAATATGCATCACAATTCAGTGGGATGCAACATTGCTTGTGAGTGGTGCAAAGTTATGAACTTGGAAATAATAATGGCAGTTAATCTTTAATTCAGGTTTGCATAAAAATGTCTTAAATTTTGGTATTCTGATAAAATAGTGGAAAAAAGAGATGTTAATAGGTTAAAGTCAACCTAGTTACAATTGAGCACATTACATTTGTATTAAATTCTCTATCTCACAATGCAGTGAGTATTTCATGCATGCAAAAATGATCTATACTGTGCAGTTATTTTGAAGACCCCTTCCAAAAATAGTAGCTAAAGTTTCAACAAATACCACAGTATTTTGGTTTGGTTATTTTAAAAGCATATTAAATTGATGTTTTCCAAAATCTTGATCCAATATAAGCATGCATGTGGCTTCTTTCCTCATGCCTTTCTTATATTAGCTGTAAATCTGAACTCAATGCTCTGTTCTTTTTCCAACAATTTTTTAACTATAATTACTAA